AACGCAACTAAACAACCAACAACACAAACAACTAAAACAACTACAAGACCCCAACAGGGTAATATTCGAGTGTCGGACCTCAACAAGGTAATAAGGTGACACTCGGGCGCACAGAGACCAAAGGCCCAAACCAAAAAACACAAAACGAACAAAAAGAAACTAGACAACACATCACAACACGCACTAAACAAAACAAAACTAGACAAGACAAAACAACAATGAAAGCCCTCCCCACAACAGAAAGTCACACCGAACACAACAATGGCAGAGTTGCGGGACAAGATCCCGACCCAGAAACTGCAAGAGAATGCCTAACTGAATCGAAGACCCAAGGGTTGGCCCAACCCTCGTCCAAACGACAACCCCACTGCCACCCGGAGAAAAAGTACCCAGCCAATCAGACAACTATAGCCCGACGATTACCGACACCGCACCTCCAAAACACAGTCCCGACTCAACGATCGCCGACGACCCACCTCCAAATCTCATCCCCAGCCCTGCTATTATCGCCTACCCCGAGGCTCGAGCAGAGCAGCTCAGCCTGTCAAGCCAACAAACCACCCACACTCCAAATCAAACCTGCAATCGCCGGCGACTACTGAAACAGGCCGAGGAAGACGAAATTGGCTCGATCCCCTTCTCCACCCCAAACCCTAAGTTGGAAATTGGGGTCGCAGCCCCTCCAAGAAAGTGCCAGAGGGCCATCGAAATAGAGATACCGGAGGAGATCTATCCACTCGCAACTCACTCCCGGCACCAGAGGCGGCAACCGGAAAGCAGGCCGACATCTCCCCAGCGAAAAAGGTTCCCCTCCCCCGTGCGACACTACTCTCGGAAACGGGCTGCGAGGCTCCAGAGAGCCGCCACCGTGTACTCGCCGCACTCTACTGGGGAAGGCGACGGATTATCACTGGAGTCGCGCGAAGAAAAGAAAGGAAATAGCGGCGAGAGTTGATGTCAACAAGAGGCTTGGGACAAAAAAACGTCTCCAACGGTGAGTTTTTTTACTTCTCCATGCGATGATCTGGCATGAGAGAGATGCAATACTTCCAGACGTCTTTCTACATTTGAAAGGTCGTCTAGACTGGATATTTTGTTTGTACTTAATAAAAGTACATAAAAAATACTTAATGAATATCACCTTAATTAATAAAAAATACAAAAAAATATTATAAATTTAATGGTATATATTTTGTTAAAAATTATACATAAACATACCTAATAAGGGATACTCTTAAAAAAAACACCGATATAAAAATACCATACATAATAAGAGATATTCTTAAAAAATACATACAAAAATACCTAAGGGATATTAGTTTGGAATTTGGATAGGTAAAAAAAATTGTGCACGTTTCGAAATAAAATATTATAAATTATATGAATATAATAACATATTTTACAAAAATGATCATTATAAAAAATAAACAATATAATTGTAAATTATTGTTATTATATATAAAACTTAGAAAATATAATGAATAATGTAATTTTTATAGATTAATTAGTTAAAAAGATATTAAATTACTACTATTCTAGCAATTATTTTTGCGATTTTAACAGTTTCTCTAGGTCGTCACACTTAATTGGGTATTTAAAAAAAATATCAATTAATGAGATAAAAAACAAAAGGATAATATTAATTTTAAAATAAATATTTTGAAGAAAAAAATGCTGTAAAATCTTTTATAACTGTGTGACTTTCATAAAAAAAATTTTAGTATGAATTATAATCAATTAATATTAATAGTATACTATATGATCGAATAATTAAATAATAATATTATTAAATGAAATAAAATAGGTGAAAAATCGTATTATTGAATAGTCTACAAGTATAGATATATAGATTAAAAGCTAGTGACACTTGTTTTTACATAAATGAGCCGAGTCGAGTGCTTCTGAAGATTTGATATTTGAACTTTGGCTTGAGCTTGAGTCTTTAACCAACCGAGCTTAGTTCGATAACTAAACGAGTTGATAAATGAAGACAAGTTTTCTTCATTTACCAATATTAACTAGTACAACTCGAGCCGAGTTGAGCTTAAGACTTGGTTTATCGGTGACCTAACCCAATTGGGTCACCAGAAAAGACAAAAAAAAATATAATAAAACAAAAAAAAAAGCGAAAGTAAAAGATAGCTGCCGACCCAAGTCACATGGTGACTCAAGGTCGCAACCGGGCGTTTGAAGATTTTCAGTTTTTTTTTTTTAATTCAATTATTATATATTAAAAAAATAATGATTGAAGACTCTTGATAATTGATAAGATAAAATAAATTGGTCCATACCTTTAAATTAAATAATTGAATTAATTATATATTAAAAAAATAAAAAATATCAAAATTCGTATTTTTTCATTCTCTATAAATAGAGACCACTCTTGATATATTTTAGATTACAACTAAAATTTCTCTCTTTTCATCCTTTTCTTAATCATATCTTATTAATTTTATCATCTCTTTTATTTTTCTTAATCATATCTTATATAAATTTTTTAATTAATGTATCACAATTAAAACAATAACAAAAAATCTATTGTATATATTATTTATAAATAAAAATAAAAGAAATAGTATGTTGGGTTGGATTGAGTTGGGTTGGGGATAAAGATATGTAGGTTGTTAAAAGTTGGGTTGTGTTGGTGGAAGAGAGAGAAATAATTTTTTATTATTGAGTTGGGTTGGATTGGATTGGGGATAAAGATAGTCTAATATCCAAGGCTATTTAAGGAATATAGTTCAATAATAATTTGTCAAATAATATCTTTAAGTCATATAAAATACCTAATTATCGTCTATAACAGTTATTTACGGTGATTTTTATGTCCATGCACCATGTTAATTAGCCTCCATTAAATTATACCAACTAGTTTTAACCTGTGCATTTGCAGGGAAAGCTATATGATAGAGAAAAAAAATAAAAAATATAAACAATAGTACAAAATATAACATAATAATTTGGAAACAAATTAAGTTTTAAGAAAGAAATTTAAATATTATTAAACACTTTATTATATACAAACTTCGTACTTTTCCTATCATCAGAATTTCCACCACTACAATTATTAGCTTCAAACTCCTCTGACTCGTAACTCATTAAAAAAACGTCATGTACAATTCCACATGACTAAATACAGGGCTCTTAAATAGTAGGCTGACATGGGACAAAGACTGCCCTTGACTCTTATTGATTGTCATATCATAGAAAACCATGAGCAGGAACTGTCTGCGTTGAAACTTGAAATTGCCGACCTTCAAGCGCAATATATGATTCAGAAGTCTTCATGAGCATTTAATCTCATTGAGAAATTCAGGAGTATGAAGATTTTGAAGAGAGTCATATCCAACATCTGACTTGCAAGGGATGTCTGAACTTCTGGACCTAGAGTAGATACTCTCAACAATAGTAGCAAGAAGATCCCTTTTTGAGTGTAGAAGAATATCGTCGGGGATGTCGATATCGGCACAACAGTCGTTCGATCCACCGACTGTACCATCGCCAATGCTTGCAAGACACTATGAGAAAACATTGTACTGTATATGCGTAAACTTGTACCACATCTACGCAAACTTTTTCAACATCCTCAATGCCAGATTATTTACTTCATCATTGCTCAACACCAATTATGTAACAACTGTATAAAAAGTTTATAAATATAAAGACATAAGAGAAAAGGGAAAAATCAAAATTATCTAACCATAATTGATTCATTTATCCGAGTGCTGTAAAATTCTTCGACGATTATATATCATCGATAGGTAAGGCCAACATGCGTCACACAGAAACTCAGGCCGATCAAGAGTATTAGAGGAAAGAAGAGTAGCAAAAATGCTTTTCAGCGAATTTTCACTCGACCATTGAAAAGTGAATCATTGAACGCGAACTTTCAGGGACTGGCGGTGTTTGGAATGACGGTGTTACCGCAGACAACTCAGATAAGGTATATACATTAATTAAATTGATAAAGTTGAATTTAAAATAAAACATTTAGAAATTTTACAATGTCAAACTTAACATTTTAAACATTTGTGAAAAAATAAAATTGAGCAAACATAAAAATATTCAAGTTTCTAATATACCAATCACTATACGTGTTAAGCTTATACATGTAATGGTTTTACTTGTTTAAATGATTATATTATGTATTGCAAATA